TTTTTTTTTTTCACTAGTTTCTCTGTCATTCTTTTTACTTCTTTCTTTATAGAATTTTCACCCTCTTAGTAGTTTTCCTGCCACACATTAAATTTTTATTTAAATTTGCTCTCCCTTGGGCACCTTGTAATTTTTCCCTTCATTACTGGGATGATTTTGTCTTTTTCTTCGTCTTCCAGAATTTGATTGACTCTTGGCTTTTCTTCCTCTTTTGTTTCTGTCCATTTTTGCTGTTGGCTTTTAAATTTCTTATTATAGAAAGTTTTTAATATCACTAAATATTCTTTTCAACTCATTTCATTTAACTTGGAGTGGGGTGGTGTAGCTTTCTTCCCTCTAAAACGTTTTGATTTTCACTTTCCTTCTTTTTTCCTTCCTGCACCGATGTATGGAATTGGTTTTCTTTGCTTTCTCCTGTTCCTAGGACTTTGGTAATGAGAGTTCCCGGTTTGAGTGCTTTCTTCCATCAGTTTGCATAAATTATAGTTTTATTTATGAAGAGTGTTGACAGGATGGGGGGTGTGGAGAGAGGGAGGTTGGTGTTGTCTTATTTTTCTTTTATTTCTGCAGGACCTTGAATTTTCCCTTTTACTTCCTTCTTATTAACTGTGCTGTCATAGCTCAGGGAGAGTTCTCCTCTGTGTATCTGATTCTCCCCAGAAAACCACGATTGTTCACGGCTGCTACTTTCGATTCCACTCATGTTAAGCCCTTTCCCTGCAGCAGGTGCTGTGAACTACCAGGTCGCTGGCCTTTATTCAGTATTTTGGAACCTAGTGTTGGATTTTTGGGAAGACGTTCATTTTGTCTTTTCTTTGTCTAGGTCCTCCTTCCCCTCTCTCTTTCACCCAGTCCCTCAGAGCTCTCTCTCCCCACTCTCAGTTCTCATGAGCTTGCAGGGCCCGCAGGGGATTTGTTGGAATGGACATGTATTTCTCCACTTACCAGTAATTTCAGATTTGCTGTGTTCCTCTTGTTATGCTGAAGACCAAGAGTTGTGTGTGGTTTTGTTTACAGTCCTTAGGGATTCCCTGGGTTATTTGAGCAGGGGTGTGTGTGGAGAGTTTCAGAAGAGGTGGCAGCCATTATCTTCCAGATTTGGAAATTCATTACTAAGTACTTTAGAAGGAAATCATCTAAGTAGAGCAACCCCGTCTTGGGCCACCACTTCTCGGCAGAAAGCAGTGTGGCTCCCAGGCAGTCCTCATCATGTGCCAGAGTCATCCCTCTCTACACGTGCTTTCTGTAAATAGAATGTCTGCCCGATTACAGAAATTCCTCTGGAGTATAAAAGACTAAAATGTCTTCTTTTATGTTCTCATGAACCATTTCTGTGAAATGAGTAGAATCGTTTAATCCAAGATAGTTTCCAGCATTTTAGGTTCTTAGGAACCTGTGTGTGTTCACTCTGAAAACCTTAACACAAGAAATTTAGCACCAGTGCTACCCAAAATTATCGTACAATTTACATAGCAAGCTTAGAAATTAGACTCCATACACAGATAAGCCCTTTTTTATACCTCTATGGAAATGGCACAAACATTTGATTCCATAAATACCACCTTTCATAATATGTTAACACACATATTTTTAAAAATTTGAATATTTTAGTAAAAATTGTATTCATCCAAGGTGTCCAACATGATGGTTTGATATACACTTATATAGTGAAATGATGACTGCAGTCAAGCTTTTTCATCCCTCTTAAGTTCCCACAAGAGCACATGACATGTGGGTTTTCAGATCAGAAAGAACATCACTAGTCAAGGTATTTGTCCAACTATTCCAAGTACAACAGAGCAGGGGCTTGAGAAATAAAGATGTGCTTGGATGCTCATCGTGTCTGGGATTAATTCATTCATGATGGGTTAGTCATTGATATTCTGCCGACATGTTCTCCTCGAGAATTGTTGATCTTCCTTTATTGTTGTTGTTGTTTCCATTTTGAAGTTATAATTATTTTCAGATTTCAGTTATTTCTTAGAGCATAGGACACACATCCTGGAACGTGCACAGATTCTAGTTAAGTGTACAGCTCAGTCAGTTTTTAGTATAAGCACACTCATGTAACCAGCCCCCAGATCAAAAACTAGAACATCACTAGTACCTTAAAAACCATCTTGTTTTCCTCCCAAACCATGACCTCACTCTCCCAAAGGTACTGCTGCACTGATGTCTATGACTGGAGATTACGTATATCAGTTTTTAAAATTTGGTCCCTCAACAGTTCATACCTCCTTTTTTGGCAGTGTAGTATTCCATTTTGGGGACATACCAGAATGTACCTGCTTGGAGCCTATTAACAATGCTGCTATGAATATTCTTCTCTGTGTCTGTTGGCAACACTAGGTATGCATTTCTATTGGCTGTGTCTTCCAGGAGTGAGAATTGGAGGATCATAGAATGAGCTCATATTCAGCTTCTGCAGACACATTGGCCTATTAATAACACTGTCAACTTTTTTTTTCTTTTATTTCAGAGCTCTTCCAGTATTAGTGGATTCAGATGAGGTAAAATAAAATGTACTTTTGCTTGTTTCCTTGGAGCAATTATAAATTGGGCAGATTGAAAGATTATGCATTGACCTGTGGGTAAAGTTGAAAGGAACTGGATCCTCATTTAAAACAGGGCAAGATAAATGCTTATTGGTGTCAAAGGAGGGAGAATTATTTTATGAGATTTTGAGTATAATTTTCTAAAATCTCATATATAGGTAAGAGTTTAGAAGACTTCAAGATGGCAGTTTGTCTAAATTAATCTCTTATACTGGTAATTATTTTGCTGGGGTATTAAATAGAATTTCTAATTGATTTACATTTACTAAGTAGGAAATTTGAATAGAAGATACGGATTTAGGAAGGTCTGGGTGAGGGGAATTAGTTGTGGATCATTTGGACACTGCAGGTTGCCCAAGACAGGAAGAAGTCTGAAGTGTAAGAGGTAAAAGTTGAATATGGGGACCATTAGCTTATACAGAGGAAGAGAAGAGGGAAATGAGTGGCAGCCAAGGAGTCATTTATGTGGTGGCTGGAGAATATGAGAGAAGCTGCAGTCTGTTCATTGAAAGGTGAGGGGAAGGCCTGGTACTGGTGTGTCGATGTGACTGCAGTGGAGTGGGAGGTTTTGAGAAGGCTGCAGTATACACGTTCCTTGCTACAAAACTGTTGA